TGATGTCGTACAAGCCATAAAGGTGAATCGAAGCGCTCGATGACTGAAAGGTCACGGAATGCATGTTTTTCAGGCTGAAGAAAGCGAAATGTTCGAATTCGCATATTTTTCCTACCCCCAATCTCGAAAGTTGTCACGTTTCGGAAGTATATGGGCAAGAAAGTGACAGTACCAAAGAGCCGAACCCTTCCTTTTTCAGGCAAGAGGCGAATCTCTTACCTCTTGAACTTTCGACGTAATGCCTGGAGATTTTCAACTCTGCATTATAATACATCGCACCTGATTTTTTACACAAAATTTTTGCTGACTCGCAAGCCTGTCATACAGAGATTCGAACGTAAACCTTCTAAACGCGAGTCCAAACAACTATCCACTAGGCCGTCACGCACACTTGCATGACTACCTCCTGCAGGTACTTGTCTTTCCTATTCCACTTCTTTGACCCTTCCGACTTGAGGAAACCTTTTGATGAATGGCTTGCTGGCTCGACCATCTCTCTGCCACTGCAATCCGAGTTGGTTTTTATTTTCAAGCCGTACATATAAACAAAGTTCGATTTTCATTCTCACAGTAAAGTTACAGCCTGTAACTGTTCTATCGTCGAGAAATAAATTTTCATGTCCTAATTTTCAGTTCACATAAATAAATATAAGCGAATGGCTTACTGTACACTTGGAGCTCATAACTCCTAGAAAACAACCAAGAATAGAAATCGATTTGGCAACCGAAAAACAGGTTAACAAAACAAGTATTTTCAGTTGGCTGGGAAGAAATACTGATTATGTGTAGTTAACGGATCAAAGAGGTGATCAGAGGGATGATAGGACGTTTTTCTGACAAGGTTCTAGAAGGAACGTATCCGATAACCGGTGTAATCGTACACTGTCTAGACCACACTCGCCGTCTTCAACTCCGAAATTCTCACAGATGAAGCTGATCTGCAATGAAAAAAATTAAATTTCTCCAATGTATACCAAACCTGTTCAGGGACACAAACTGGGGTGGGTCAAAACCCGGATCTCGGCAGAACGACAGCTCAAGAGAGTTTCCATTTACAACCAGATAACAGATAGTTGTGAAATATTGCAGAAACCAGGACCAGGGACCACGAGAATCGTCCGAGTTATAGTTTGATTGAGTTTTTCGGTTTCTTCTGTGGTGACGCAACTTTTACTTCTTTTCCGTCGGGTGGAGTGCGGTATGGAAGCAAAAAATGGAATAGGATTGTTTATCGTTATTGTTTATTGTTTCTGGTCATCAGGAAAGGAAAGCGTAGTGAAAAGGTCCAGCAAAGCAATGGAAACAAAAAATGGAAAAGGATTGTTTATCGGATATTGGACACCTGCATGCATAGAGGCTGAACCTTTTTAGAGCGCTTCCTTTTCCTGATAATCAGTAACAATGGGCATTCTTAGAATTAGAACAGTTTCCATTCTATTGCGATTCCCTTAGGCTGGTAATAGATCGCCTCAAGAAATCCGGATTTTAAAGTTCATCGAACAGACCCATAACTTCAAGCCCCATCTCGTTGTCATTTTAGAGTAGTAAGTGAGTAAACGCCCTCATTATGTCCACAAATGGATGGCGTAGGTAACCATTAGGAATATATGGAAATATGAAGATGTCCTAGAATAGAAAAGGCCACAGTACATATGCTCGAGTCGTCGACACCTGCCATTCTGGCCGTTTCATACAGAAGGTAACCCAACCCTAACTGATAGCTATGAATTTATACAATCCGCTCTTGTTTCGTGAAAATAACTGACCTTCACCGTCAATGCAGGACAATCAAAACTAGCACTTTGCCAAAGAAGTACTCCTGCTTCGACGGGCGTGGCAAATGGGCACTGCCTTATTCCTATACGATTGGTACAGCACCCGATTAATCGTGTACCAGATTGCCATTCCAAAGCATCGAAGAACACCTGAACATGACTATGGTGTATAGGAAAGAGAAAGAAAAGGGAGTGGAAAGGATTTGACAATTGAAGACGAACCGAATGCGGCTCAAGCATGTTGGTCTCTGTTTCTAACACTGAGGTAGTTCCTGGAGACACACGAGCTCGAACGAAATGTGAGTACCCGACTGAAATTTGCGATTGAGAAAAGTAATTACATCTTATAAATCAAGTTCGACATTGCGGGCGGCCACCAAACATGGTTCAGTAGGTAGGGCAGAAAGCGAAACGAAGTGGGAGTTCACTTACATCGATATAAGCAAGGGGTAGTGCAAAGGTAACTTGGAAGCGAAAGATTAAAACACGTTCAAATACACGATTGAGATTCCGGGAATGAGTGTGTGGGGGGAGGAGGGGACTCGTCTAAGCAAGAATTCTAGTGCAGACAAGGAAAAAGAAAGTTGAAAAACGAAAATTCAAGGATGACCTTTAACACGCATGAAATAATTCGAGTATGGAACTTCTTGTGGATGAACGTAGGAGCACATGCTTCGATCAAACAGGCATCCTCCATAAGTGTGACAGGGTGAAGGTGGGGTCAGGGAGAATGGCCTAAATTAGGCTGTGTGTAAGAATATTCCGAAGAAAATCCAGATGGCTTCATGTAGCTTGCCTGTTGAATACATGTAATGGAGAAGGCGTTTGAACTTGTGTTGGCGTCTGTACCTTTAAGAAAGTAATAAGCTTTTGTCTTTTACCCTAAAACACATCCGGAAATAAAAAAAGTAATCTAATATAGAATTTCAACAAAAAAAGGTAACAGTACTATGGTGTTGGACGGCCGGTTGATTGGTCTCACTATGACACGTGCTTGTTTGGTTGATGTTTCCAAATCCTGTAAGTCGACAGACTGGGAATTTCGGTTTTCAGAGAAAAAAAAACTACAAAAAAATTACAACGCCGGATCAAGCCATTGAATTCTTGCGGATTATTTACGACAACCACCGTTCCCCCAATCCCTTCTGATATGCGTCGCGCGAATTTTTCGCGCACCGAGCTGGCGAGATTTGACTCAGCGCCTCAACTCAGTGGGTTTTTTGTAAATCACCGAAAGTTTTGTGCGGAGCCTTTTGCGCAACTTGCTCCTATGTGGAATATTCGCAACGTATTATTCAGCCGAAGGACCGGGGGCCGTCAGTCTCGCTACCAATCCGCGCAGCAATTTGCAGTTACGAGGGTTAATGTCCTGGCCTCGTTTCTCAGGTGCTTTTTTCACAAGTGAGGTTGAGCAACCTACACTACTAACTAGTTTACAGACAAAAGGTGTAAGGCAATTTGGCAACATCAACATACTTGGTCGACGTAGTCAGGTTCTTCTTCATCATCTTTTGTCACATAGTTTGGATCGAGAAAATTAACCAGTTCCTTGCCGAGGAGATCCGTCAAAGCTGAAATTCGGATACTTATTTATGTTTGCCGTTATGTTTACTGACTTTACGTTTGCAACTTACGATCAAATTCTTCTGGCTTCGCCAATGGAGATGGTGGAGGCATGGGTGGTACTGAAGCTCCAACTAATTCCTTTGAATGTTCCATGTCAGGAATGCCACGTTTCGGCTGAACGAACACTCGCCTCTTGGGGTAGGCTGACAGTAAACCTGCAGGCGACATGACTTCTGCAGTCGATGCCAACCTTTCGGTGGATCGTCCTGGTCGATCTATTTCTTTACTTTTCACTTCTCCAGATTTCCTCTCCTTGCTTTTTATGGAATCAGCTTCATGAACCAACTGTCTGACCAACTTTTTCGAGTCCTCACGTTCAGCCAACTTTGCTCGAACCCGATCGTCGATTAACGCCAGTTGAGCTAACTCTATTCTAGAATTTGCTGCTTGGGACGATATCCCACTGCTGCTGGAAAGCGGATGTGAATTTTCGCTGGCGAGCGATGAGGACGGCAAGGCGATTGTTGCTGTTTGTGACAGGACTTCCTAAACTGAAAAGATCGAAGAAGAGAGCAATTTGGATAGCTGCTAGAGAAGAAAAACTTGAATAATTGTCGAAAAATTGGGAGGAAACGCCCCGAAAAGCATGAACAATTATCCGGCTATGATCCGAGGAACTAGACAGCGGCGTATCCAGCTCCACTTTTGGCAAACGAAGGAAATTCTATTTAAAGCTTCAGCGTGAATTAGTAAAAACTGTGTCTTACGGTTTTTTGTTCAGCAGCCATACATTTCCTAACGTTCATCATAATTCGGTCGATCATCACGACGGCGTTTGCGCCTCCATCTGTCTTTTCCATGACGAATAACACCTGTAGAAATGAACGTGACATTCCCTTTCACCCCATAACGGTTCACGCAGCATGGCTTTGCTGTTGAATGGGACCCGTTCCAACGTTTTATTGGGAAGAAAGGAAAGTCGGTCGCATTGAATATGCAGCAGATCTATTGGATCGGCGGCCGGCTTACCCCGGCTGTCAAGCGGCCGATAGCTTTAAGAGATCTATGAATGGAATTTGCGGAAAAGTGCGAGACGGACATATCCGGCTGATAGATAGACGGAGGAATCGATGGCTTATATGAGCATTCCCGTCAGGTAAATCATTCTCACCTGCACATTGATGCCTTTCGGTACCGCCATGCTCTGACTGATCACCTGGCTTTGTCGAGACGGTTCGACAAGATGACAGTTCTCGTTGCGCACCACCTCCTGTCCCACCGGTCTCCAGCATAGCTTGAGGCGACTGGTCGGACTTTGCCAGTGCCTGAACGAGTCGGTTCAGGCATTCATCACACGTTCCACCACTTAAAACCTTAATCTAATGGATTACATCATGGAACGAACGAATGAACGATTCCTGCTCCGTTGCTTTTAAACGATATCGAAATGTGAGACCAATTTGAGGATAGCATCGAAGCGGTTAATCGTTAGAATTCAATTACTGTGGGTGGGAAGCTAAGAAAGCTGGCAATCAGAGACCTTAGAAATTGATAGCATGGCCAATCAACAGCAAAATCCACTGGACATAGTTTTGCATAAAATGTAGTGTACAACAGGATAACTGGGGAATTTCAAGTCTTTCCCAAGGTCATTCATCCAAACTGGCCAGAGGAGCTACATACTATTCTCGTGTATCACCAAATGAAAAAGAAGATAAAGACTAGCGGCCGATTTCTAGTTCAACCTTAAGATGGCTGATGAACACGCAAACCATGAATCCACTTTAAGCAGTCCTCGAAAAGCCATCTGTTTACAATCCTGCTTATCTTTCCACCGCCTTTGATAGAATCATGATTTCTACACTCACTGAACCTCTCCCGCTTCCCACACGTTCACGGCGATCCTCCCCTCTCGTGAAAAAAGGAAGAAAGACCCGATAGGTTAGCCTTATTTACTGTTCCCAAAGAAGAACCCATAATTCGTTTGATGGAATGTGGTGATGGGGATTATGTGAAAGTAAGATATTAGCGTGACAGATCATTAGCGATGATTCTCTATCCCATGCAGTTAGCGGTCTACTTCATCCACTTGAGTGTGAGGATCATTTTACCAGAACCTTCAACGCCATCACTTTCACTTTCGCGCTGGTTTTTTGTTTGGAATTCGGTTAAGAATTAGGCCATCTGTACTTGTTCCCATGACGTATTTCAAGAGAATCTGACATTATGAGTATTCTTACTGTAGGACGTGAATAGTAAAGAATAGAAAACTCGAATAATACAAATAATAATAATACATATAATATATAATATATAATATAATACATACATATACATATAATATATAATTCAAATAATAATAATACAAATAAAGAATGTTTGTACTCGATGAGGCGTACCTGTATTGCACGATTACCTTACCATCCGAAGAACAGAACGGGCACGAGCCAAAAGCCGATTGACCACGTCGTCGACTTTGCAGCAAGTAATTTCCGACTGAATAGTTTCATTGAGGAAATTATTGGAGGTAGAGTGAAAGAATAGTCCCGCTTAGGAAGTTAGGGAAGTTACTGGAGTTAATTCAAGAAGTAACTGATATCGGTACCTGGAGGAAGTCGACTTCTGCCTACAAGAAACGTTCGACGAAATTCGTTAATGTTGATAGATCTACCGCTTCGAATTTGCCATTTGGTCGTTTCGTCAAGTGAATGCCAACAACATGGTCTACGGAAATCACAGCTGAGTTCATCGGCAGTGATAGCTGAATTAGAACTGACTAGATATAAGGTTGTTGCTATATCGAATGAATCGAAGAGAGAAAACAAAGAGACGACGGATCGAATCGGACCTTTCGGTGCGTGGAAGAGGAAGAAGAACACGACGAGACCGGCACTACGCAACAACATCCCCACGACATGTCCTATCATAGCACCGCCCAACAACGCAAAACGCCCCCAAGAAATCGCATCGATATGTAGCCGTACACACACACACACACACAAGACCGTCACGTAAATGCACTCACCTCTTGATCCTTCTACCTCATTCATCCGACTGATCCTACACTCGCTATGACCTAATGGTGAGGATTGATCGCCAAGGTTACCGGCCATTATGGTTCTTTCGAAAACTTGAAATTCATGATCGAACCTCCGCGACAGACTTCTTCACAAGGAATCGTGGAGTTGTCCGCTAAATAACCACGAACACGCAAAAGGTGACAAGCCCGAAACCATAACGAGAGCTTACGCCAGTGTTGGAATCACCACCACCGGTTGCTGCCGGTCTGTCCACCAACACCCACACATAATGGATTGAAACTCGATGAAACTTTGAAAGCAATATTGCATGTAAAAAATAGATTTTCAAATAGTTTTGAAAAGTTTTGATACGGTAGATCATTGGTGGCCCAATTGCGAAGAAAATAGACAGCAACTTCCATGAAGCCTATTGACGAAAGGTGGTAATAACAACAGTTTTGACGTGCGTCATGTTCCCCTTTTGGATGAAGGCTAGAAAAGTGATTAGATAGAAGTGTTACGGAAAAAGGGAGTAACATTTCATCATTACTACTATTCCATTGAGTTCGTTACTAAAGAAATTCACTTAGAAATCTTCGGTGGCCACTGAACGGACTCAGATTCAACCCATTTTTCATGTTTGTATCGGTAGAACATCAGGAACAAACTGTTTCCAATTGAACCGCATGCAGTGACGCGCCTTCAAATCCAGTCAAATGAACGAATGGATTATCAAACATTGAAATTTAAACCCTAGTCCTTTGAATAGAACAGACTTCCAGTTAGGTTCGATCGTTGGTTCCACTTTCTACTGCACAAGTTTCGTGGGCGAAAAAAAAAGTTCGCAGCTTTCCATCTCGTTACAGCTTCATAATCAAACCGCCTTGTTTTTTATGGACCATTGATTGTAAACTCAGTTTCGGATGCTGGTAGACTAGCAAAAAGTGGAACGAAACTTGTTTGAGACGGATTCATACTATTCTAGAGGATCTAAGGACACTACGATACCTGTACTCACCCTCGAGCCTTTCCCACATTTACCACTCGTATTCCTATGTGAAAAAGTTGGATCATTACAGTACTAGGCATTAAATGATAATGGAATACTGATAATAACAAGTGTAATGGGACTGTAGAAATCGGCGATAAGGGTAAAGCCCTAAGGGCACAGTTCACGATAATTTGGAGATACCCGTTTTTATTCGAAAAGCGTATAGATTGGGAATAATTGGTAGTGAAGAGAGCGAAAGAATTCGCCGATTTCGAGAGAATATGGCTCCTTAAAAGTAGGAAAATAGAGGTTGGACGAGAATGCCATGGCGGAAATAACAAAGAAGAGATATTCGGACGAGATTTCAGTTGTTGCGACTGCGCGAAGAGCTGACTACATCAAGCCAGTACTGTACATAGCTGTCTTCTACTGTCTCCAAAGGTCATGACAAGTTGTTTGAACTTCCTACATGGGTTCCCTTGTGATCGGTGCAGAGTATACAATGCTGGTGAAACTCGTCCGAGGTTACACACGGATCAGTCTTTGAGCCTTTATAACTCTCTAATTAGGTCGTTTTCCGACCTAATAGTGCCAGATATGGTATACGCTGGGACTTCAAATTCATCCTGTGGGGGAATCTCAGAAACCATTTTTATCGTGAACTGTGCCTTCAGGGCGCAGATCAATAGCGTTTTTGGGATGCGCCCCACATTCGACTTCCACCCAGAATTGTAGTGGTCTGTTGAATCCGTATTGGCATATACGAATTGCTTTAAGCAGTCGATGTACAGTCAAGGGCTTTTGTTCTCCTAGTCGTATCCGGTTCCAGTAGTTGGCCTGCACAGGCACAGATCTGTAAATCAATTCCACAAACCAATCGCGTGATCACTTGCCATCACACGATCTCCATGCCTTACGTAAATTTTAGGAATAACTGCTCATCAGTGATAAGCCTCATTGCTGGAGTGGTTGCGACCAATGTCCGTTAGTGGAAATTGAGATTTCTCTGTTCAATATGTATTTTCCCAACTGAAAATGATAAGCTGGCGGATATGACAGTGTTTCTACCTTCTGGGGCGGATATTTCCCAAAATTTAGACAATCCCGTAAGGATGAAGGGTTCGGCTGGTAGAAAGGTGTTCATTTTTCAGACAACACTTGCCACGGAAGCATAGCAACCGCTGTTCTGACTTTGTACTGTGCTACTGTGCTATTACTCTTCCTTAACTTGTCTATGGCTTTTTAGTCTTTCATAATCATAATAGTAATCCAGTAAAGCATGCACTCTGAAAGGGATATTGGTTTACCGCTAAGTATTCGCAGTTATCGCTACCAAATTCCGATATGAAATGACATTTCGGCAGGTTGGGTGAATGTCAAGAAGCGCCGTCACTACTATGCTGGTCTGTGGCTCGGATCTCGCGTCAGTTCCTGATCAATCGAGCTTTTCATCTCAATGATGTGGGTTTGTTGGGAGCAGACCGTTTGGGACAACGACTTTGGTGACGTCTTCATCGGCTGGTCCCGAGGAGGTCGTTGTTTAGCACTGATCAAATTTTTACGATTCAAAAGGTAGTTATTTGAATGTGAGAGCAAATCCAAAACGAAGTCACTCAGCACACTGAGCTTCCAGATTTCCTCTTTTCTATCCATACATCCAGCCCATCCAGCTTCAAAGCCATTCTGAGCAGAGGCTGTTTTCAGAATGCCTCAACAAAGGCAATATAAATGCGCCATCACATTCGCCCATGTGATTACCCCGAAATAGCCCTTGATTTCGTCTTGATTCTCCCTCACATTTCTGGTTCCCGTTGTTCCTGGAATAGAGATCACCCGGAGTGGGTAGACAAGGCTAATCAGCCAGATTTCCAGAGCATTTCGTTCTGAATTCTGGGCAATCCTCCGCTCGTAGGAGTGACATAACTGGCATTGGTTGTAATGGATGCGAACTCTATCACTTTTGCCGATCACCTTCGATTGCATCCCTCTGAAAATCATTAACTACATCTTCTAGGGTTAGGTGGTACCATTACGCAGTCAACTATCCCTTCTTCTTCATCTTCTCTCTAGCGTTAAGCCCGCGCCGTCGCATGGTCCGCTGTTCTTGTCAGCTCACTCCACTTCTTTCTATCTACAGCATCTTCTGCCGTTACTTTGTCTTCGGCGGGGTCCTTATTGACCAAGTCCCTCTATCTCCTCATTCTGGCTCCTCATGGTCGCCTATCTTGTATCACGAACTCCATTTCCTCCCTTGTCGGATGATTCTGTGGTCTCCCCAGTACATGCCCGAACCATCGTAGACGCTGCTCTCTCATATTCAGCTAGACCGAGCTGTTTGCATAGCCGCCCTGACGTCTTCATATCTTGATCTGACCTAAGCATTCTCATTTCAGCGGAGTGGAGCTGTCTTTCGTTTTTCTACGTACGGGCCAACACTGCTGCAGAGCATCGTGCTCCTCACCACTGTCCGACACCTTTATTTTGAGCGTCCTGAAGCACTGACGGACGCAGAGGACACCACTGGACTTCCTCCACTTCGCACACGCTTTCATTCAGGTTTTTACGGCCTGGTCCACGCTATCATCAGCAACAATCACTACCCAGGTATCGGAATTCTTGAACTCTTTCGATGGCATTCCCGAGACCGTCTACAATCGACTCCTCGAAGCTGAGAAACATGGTCCTTCTCACGTTTAACCGAAGCACGTTCTCCGTCAGTACTTTCAACCATTTCTGCAGCTTGTTCCGGAGTTCCTAGCGTTCTCACTTGCTCCCTGCTGTCACAGTGATGTTATCAGCGTAGAGGAGGGTCAAGCAGGAAGAGGAACAAGCTCAGGGCCAATCCCTGGCGTGCCTCGGTTGAATTCCTTCTTCGGATCGAGGAAGGCCAGGTAGTAGGATCTGCGCTTTTTTCGATACTTCTCCATTATTGTCTAGACCTTTCAAATATGAAGTCGAACTGTCTTGTGAGATCGGGACCAATCCTATGAATCTTGAATCGACTAACCGCTCGTACAGTTTCATTATGTGAGCAGTCAACCGATTCGCCAATAGTTGGAGCACTATATCGCGTACTTCTTTTGAAGATGGGAGCGATGGTACTACTCCTCTCGATTCGTCCTCTAGGAGTAACATTGTTCAGGATTTGGGTGAGCCACTTTATCCCGTACTCTCAGAGCCGATCCATGCCTCGATTGGTACCTCATTCGGACCAGTTGCCTTCCCAACCTTCATCTTTCTTATTGTTCTACGCACCTCATCCCCTGTATAGGGTTCGATGGAGCCAGCCGTGGCCTCACTAGGGGCTGTTCTTACGAGTGAATTTTCGTTTAAAAGCTGTCGAAATGATCTTTCTACCCGCGCCTGACCTCACTAGGCTTCCTCAGGGTTGGACCCTTGCTGTCAGACTTCACTACCCCCGATGTCCTGAGTAGCCTGACGACGCGCTTTCGCCAGCCGGAAGACGAACTTCTCTTCTTCTCGACAATCGAATTTCTCATACAAGGCATCCATTTTCTTACTCCTTGCCTTCGCTACAGCAGCTTTGGCGTGCCTTCTGGAAGTTCTGTGGGCAGATAGCCTTCTGGAGCTTGTGTCCTTGCCAGCGCGCTTTCTTCTGTCTCACAGCTCGCTGGACTTCTTCGTTGAAAACCCATGCTTCCTTATCTCTTCGAAATCCACTCAGAGTTTCTTTCCCCAGCGTTTCCCTTGCACTCGTTGCCTCAGGTCTGCTGGATCGACCCTTCGGGATCTGCCAGTCCCGTTTCCAGTTTCTTCTCTTTAAGGTTCTCTGTTTCGACTCGCCACAGCTTCAATCCACCGGGTTTTCCGTCCTGTTCTTGTCCCAGATTTCATAGGAAGATCGATGGCTATGGCTGTTAGGAGAGGCATGTGCTGTCTAGCCAGGTCTCCTCTAGGCAGTAGTTTTATGTCCTTCACTGTTTTGAAGGCTGACCTTCTGGTGAGATCGTTGTCTATTTCTGCTTCTTTTTCTCCGCTGTTGCAGGCTATCTTCTCAGTTTTTCTTTTCGCAAAGAAGATGCATATTGCCAAGTCGTGGGCTGTGGTCAGGTCAAGAACCCTTTCTCCTTCTCCGTTCCTCATTCCTCATCCGCTATTGTGAGATAATCCCCCTCAGGAACTGGTCGGATGACCTCGTCAAAGCACAAATAAAATTCATTCTTTTATTAGACGAGGCAGCCGGCTTGTGGTGCGTACACGATATTATTGTCCAACACCCCTCTTTCGTGTCTATCTCAGAGCTATGATTCGACTGCTGACCCCGTTGACGGCGAGGACAGAGCCTTTCAGGGGCTCTGCCACCGCTATAGGCACACCATTTCGTATGGTATCTTCTTCGTTGGAATAGCGGGTCTCCTGGAAGCATAGGATCTGAATGTTCCTGCGTTTCATAAAATCATCGACCGCAGAGGACTTTTCAGTATACGACTCCACGTTCAGAGTCCCAGTTCGAATTAACTTCTTTGGAAGAGGTCGTTCACTCCCCGGTAGCCCTCGCATACTGTCCACAGGACTCGGGCTGGGGTCCTACGCGTCACTTTTGCGTGACGTCCTATACTGCTTCCTTCTGAGACTTTTGACATATTTGCTGTGACTACGTTTATTTACCAGCCGGCCTGTCAACCTGAGCCCTGAAGATGGCACCGATGCCATTATTGCACTTTTTCCATGGAATGGATTTGCCTAGGCAGAGATCGATCTCGCCATTTTTCTGAGTCCAGACAAGAGCTTACACACCCACTCGGCTATCCCTGCCTCACTCAGTTGACGGTCCTGTTGAAGCAATTGTAAAGAACCCAAGTAGACACGGAAGAACTCCCTAACTTACCTTTTCAACTCTTAGGTAGGATTTGCAGTTTGCGCTACCTTCCACGAGTCCACGCAGCGAATGTCGGGTGAAACGTAAAGGACGAAAGATATAAATAGGATGAACAGAAAGTGGAAGCCAAGCCAAGGATGAAATGTTCATAGATGAGTCCCGCCAGATGACTCGCCAGCATGTCGCTAAGTATAAATGCTAACATAGACATGACATGCTAACATTGATGTACCCTATGTGCAGTACCTGATGAAAGCATAAGATGATTGATAATGTTCTAGGCTTATAAATGATGATCAGAGGGAGTTTCGGGGCATTTCTAGTTGTGAATGTGTAGCAGATGGTCGAAGACTGGCACTTGTACGTTTTCAGTACCGCGCTGGCCTACTTCTCAGCAACGTTCCTGA